GGATTTTCTGGGACTTTTCGTAAAAATTGAATATCTCATCAACCAAATAGCTTTTAGACCTGCGATTTTCGCCAAATTCATAAAAATGTCTACTCTAAAGAAGTCTATTTGAAGGAAACCTGAACTCAGCAGCAGTATACGATAATAGGTTGTGGCTTAACTTTAGTGGATTGTGAGTTATCTTATTCTTTTCCTCCTTGATTTAATGTTGAACTCGCTTCTTAGGCTGACCTTTATCCTCCTCCATATGAAGAGCCCCCAAAACCGGTAGTATTTTCATTAGAATACGAAGATCAAGATGCAGTTTTACGTCAACAACTACAAAATCGCAGTATATTCCCACATAGACTTGTAGTACCCGATATAGATATTACGAATATTGAACGTATACAGTATATATGGCTCGATGCTCACATTATGACTAAAAGTGAAAGCTATGAACAAATGTTTTCTCTAGAACAAACGTTGTTTTTCAACTGCGCAAATGAATGTGCATCATATATAAGAAATACTCGGGACAGTGCAATTTTTCTTATAACATCTGGAAATCTTGGACAATCTGTGGTGCCATTAATACACGATTCAGTTCAATTGCAGAGTATCTATGTTTATTGTGCAGATAAACAACGTCATATGCAATGGTCCTTATCATTTTCAAAGGTACGTTGTGTATATGACACCGAAGAAGAAATGCTTGAACAATTACTCAATGATTCGATAAAGATGAATGTCGCAGTAGGCAAACAATATTTAAAAATGGAAAAGTACCATAAAGCCTATGATTATTTTGATACTGCACAGTCGCTGTTAGCTTCTGATGATAATGATCCACAAATTGAATTATTATCGAATGAGTTAAACGAAGTGTTAAACGTAAGCATATTGTTTACATTAGTTAAGAAATCTTCAGAAACATGTTTTCTCTGTATTACTAGCTCTTTTACTTAGCAGTGAAAAAGCCGATTATTTCAGTACTGGAAAAGGATCATGTTAGTTTAAATATTACGGATTTTAACTGTAACGATTATTACATACAAGATTACAGATTGATGCAAAATTCAAAGTAAATGTGCTATAAAACTAATTATTAATTTTATGAACTTTCGACGTACAGTAAGACTGTATCGCAAGTTTAAAGAGAACATTGGTATTTTGGATGCTTCTTCCTGGGTTGGATGCATCTGTCTCCTTAAATTCTGTAAGAGTAACCTTTTCGATAGGCTCCCATAAAGGAAGAAAGTGAAAGACCTCCTGCCTATTTAGTGATGGTTTGAACTCTTTTCCTGAATCGCATTTTTGAGAAATTAAATTTCGAGGTGTTTGCCACATATTCGCTACGTGTGTGCTGTGTTATGCATACGTCGAAGCTTTGCCTTTGGATCGCAAAGTCTGCTCTAACAAGGTTTTTTCTTATCTTGCAGGAATATATACGATAAATTAATTGACCTGTTTAAACCAGTCGGAGGTATGACGGATACATTAACATCACAAATTTCGAGTGTAAATACAATAGAAAGTAATTGGAACATTCAATTGATTTCTGAAGCTGTCTTGGAGAATGTTGTAGAATTTAATGAACATTTTACGGTAGTAAATGTTTGATGGTGTTTTGCATTGTTCTTTACTTCAAAAAAGGTTATTTTTAGGATGGGAAGCAGGAACAAAAGTTTACTTTTATTTGTATCGGTTATCTAAGCGAAGAAAAACGAAAGCAATTCGAATCAAGCAAATTTTTTCAATTCGATGACTCACACATTAATGAAACAAGTTTAAATAATAACAAGGAATGGGAGAGATTTATATCCTGGTTTGAAGGTCTAGGTATTAACTAAGCCAATTTATTATGAAAAATCATTCAATTTTGATTTTGTTTTAGCTTTGATTCTAGAAACAGATAGCAATCGTCTAACAGCTTCTAATAAAAAAACACTGATCATTATATTGAAATTACAAGAGAAAAATATGGAAAACCTGCAAAATGCTTTGGACGAAATTGGGGGAATAACTTTGATTTACAATGATAGTGTTAAGAAATGTTGCACGGATATTACAATAAATATGGACAAACAAATTTTTCTTCTCATATTAGGCATACTTGATGTCGATTCGATGTTAAGTCTGACAACATTTCCACAGTTAAAAGCTGTTTATATGTATGTCGATGAAACTATCAAAACAGATACATCAAATGAAAAGTTTCGTGGTATATTTACCAGTGAAAATGATTTATTATTCGAATTGATACGCAATATGATTTATGTTCAGACTCAAGAAGGACATAAATTGAAGAGTTATGGAAAGAATATATTGGCCAAAACAAAATATCAGCAAGCACAAGAACTTTGCAAACTGCTTAGAAAAGCTTTGGCAATGGGATGGACAGAATAATTCTTCTTGTAGATAGACGTAAAACAGTGAATTACGTGGCACGACATTTCCGCGAACAGGACGCCGACTCTTTCAGGAATTTTTCATAGTACACATTTGGGTATTTTTGGCAGTGTGTCGTGAGAGATGCCGGTGTTGGCAGTGTAGTAGTGAGTTCGAAAAGTAGTTTCACACAAATCATATATTCATGATGCGAAACTGTATATCTGTAACTGTATCGCAGAATGACTATTCCATTAGAAAATTACGTACAAGGTCCACGTCGGACCGAACTTGATGAAACTAAGCTGGTATATGCAGAATTTCAAGACGACGCCGACAGCGGGGTTCTTATAATTCCATTTTGAGCTTTTCAAGTGTGACCACAATCTCAACGAT